GCGGCTGAGGCCCACGACACCCGGGTTGAAACTGGAAGCATCCTGAGTGCCCATTTGAGTGAAGGTTGCAGTCAAGACTCCACGCACTTATCTTGTGGCTGGACAGTTTGAGTTTGGATCAGGGATAGGAGTCGTAAAGAAGAATACCCTGGTTTGAATGCTTGCAGTTGCGCAACAGGAATACTAGCGTTGGCGCAGGACTGAGTCACACAACTGCAATTGCTACTCTAGCTGACACACACACACGTACACGTGACTTCCGCCACAAATGGCGACTCCCAACAGTCAGCGAACACGCGACACGGGGCAACGTCTCAGCTCCAGCTTTCCTGAATCCTACACTTCCGTCGTTCTCATTTCTTTCCTTTGTACACTCACTGTGACTCAGATCACACTCACACATAGTCAGTACAGTGGTCATGCCAAATAAAAAACTAACACCTGACCTCGAGGCCTTCAGCACAGCGCTCCGTGCTGTAGATACTAGCCGCTACTGCACTGGTATGGTGATGGTCTTGGCGAACCGAAACGGCGAAAGGAACGAGTGGGAATGCAATGAACCGTGGGAAGAAACTGGTGCTGCAGGAAGCAGGGGATTCCCCTGTAGGGTAAAGCCGATCTACATACATGCATTGTGTTCATAAAATCATAATCGTACTGAACATATTCCACAAATCGATGTCATCATACGTCAGTCATCATCATGATCATGAATATCCTAGCCTTCCTAGGCCTGTCCACGTCACTGAGGGTATATTCGATTGGTTAGATCTGGATCCGGGTAGATTGAGTGGATCCAAAGGATCCACCAAAGACCAACAAAAACGCTACCCTTGATCGGATATGGAATTTTAGCGATTTACATAATATTATACCTGTATGAGGGTTTTATTTCCCAGAGAGAAAGCAACGATTTCCGCATCATCGTTAGTAAAAGGCTTACTACCTAAAAGCCTTTTACTACCGCGATTTGTACAGGTATTAAGTACAGACGTTTGTTGGAAAAAAAAGATTGATTGAATGGATCCATTCAACTCGCCACTGTACTGGACATCGGACTGTGCTGAGTATTTCTCACAACACACAGCTTTGCACATGAGACACGTCCCATGCTGGAAGACATGGAGTGACCTGGCTGGATTGAAGCTGGATTTAAAAAAAATAGGAAATTGCCCTTTTCACAGAAGGTGCAGTTCATATACATGTATGTACAATACCTACTGCAACCACAAAGACGTTTGAAGAGAGAGAGAGAGAGAGAGAGAGAGAGAGAGAGAGAGAGAGAGAGAGAGAGAGAGAGAGAGAGAGAGAGAGAGAGAGAGAGAGAGAGAGGGAGAGGGAGAGGGAGAGAGAGAGAGGAAGAGGGAGAGAGAGAGAGAGGAACGGAGAGAGAGAGAGAGAGAGAGAGAGAGAGGAACGGAGAGAGAGAGATAATCTTGGTAGACAGCCAGGAGTTCAGCGCATACACAGCAGCAAAATAAGGATTTAAAGTATTCACAGTGGTAGAATTATTTAAAAACATCAGACAGCAAGGGAACAGGATGCTGCAAACCAGCCAGAATAAGGGAAGGAAAATCAATAGGGACTCAGCAGTAGCAACAGGAATACCAGCAGCAGCAACTTTGTACATGGGAATGAAAACGCATGCCGGGACAATCCAGATGATAGCGATCGGATGCAGCTGTTCACTTCAGTTCAGTATCGTAACACAGGTACGGTATGGTGCGCTGCAAGCGCCAGCGCAGTGACATCAGCAGGATAAACAAAAATGATCATGGACCGGTAGGTGTTTGTTTGCCTATCAGTGACACGCGTCGACGTTGACAAGTTTTCTATGACGCAATCACCATCAGCGTGGCCGAGGGCACAAGGCCCAGTGCCTTGAGTGACTGACTCATATCTGCAGCACCAAACGTTTTAGCAGGCATCGTTGTCTTTAGCACAAACGCGCCAGCGTAATGGCCGCGTACGAATTGTGCCACGGCGGAAAATTCGGCCGTGGCACTGAATGCCTCCATGACGGCCTTGCCGTCGGGAAGACGTACTCTTAGACGGCAGTCTGTATATTCCTTTTTTACCGGTGGCGCACTGCTGGCCGGGGCGGTCGCTGCTGGAGCTGGCTGAGGCACGACGGCTTGCGAGGGCTGCGCTTTGGCTGCGGCCCGCGCTGCCTTATCCGCTGCTACCTTTGCCGTGATCGCGTCCTTCGCTTTCTTGGCTTCGGCCATCTCTCTTCGCCGCAAGTCTGCGTCGCGCATGCGCTGCTGCATTTCATACTTTGATTTGGCATCGGTAATGTCTTTGCCCGACTTGCGACGCATCTTTTCCCGTTCGATGTCCTCCTGCTTCTCCTGCTCCGCTCGTATTTTGCGTTTCTCCTGCATACGCTGCACGAGAAGTGCCTTCTGGGCGGCCTTCTCCTCCTCGGTGAGTGGCTTGATTTCCTCCACGGACTCTGAGAACTGGCTGTGGCCTGTTCGGGATGCATGCGTCTGGGCAGCAGTCGCGTCGCGCAAGGCCTTGCCGCACTCGTCGCATTTCAATGACGAAGCCGTCTGGTTGGCAGCTCCGCTGCTATCTCCGCCTTCAGGCGAGTCCGCCGCGCCCGTAGCAGCGCCTGAAGACGGTCCTGCCAGCGTGTGGCCCTGCGGAGCAGCGTAGGGTTCGTCAATGTCCGCATCGTCAGCATGGGCAAACAGCCACTCCATAGCTGGCGCTACTCCCTGGTTACCAGTGATCGCCAGGGCTTTCTCAGCTCGGTTCTTGGGAAATCCCATCTCCATGAGAGAGTCGAGGGCCGACATCGTCACAATGGCCGACACAACGTCGATAACAACACAATAAATACTTGCAGAATTCGAATTTTCTCTTTCAGCAAACAAAATGTCTCTCGCTTTGCCTCAAGCGCACGCCAGAAAATTAGGATGCAAGTAACTCAAAGCCTTATCTAGCAGTACCATGTGTATACAGTATTGTTCTTGATCTTTACACTCACGTCCACTCAATTCTCCCAACAGTTAGCAAGCAGAAAGAGCAAATCAGAAACGTACCTCATTCATCAATAATAAACAATATGCCATCGATTCGCTGTAGCATTTCAACAAAATAAACTAACTTACTTGAAAAAGATAGGAGACAAACGCAAAAGCGACGCGCCGTGGGTGTGTTGTCAAGGGAGCTCGGCCTGCCAGTTACCATAGGCGCATGGGGACGCTTCTGAGCGCATTACGGTATTTTCTGTTTGAAAAACCATTTTCTTGCAAAAGCTTCCTTCTTCTTTTATTTCTTGTTTTTCAAAACCATAATCTGATGATCACTTGGCCGATGCAGTACACTCAGGAAGGGATTTTCTTTACTGCTTCTTGTTGCGTATACTTCTTCTTTTGGACTTCGAGTATTGACTTGAGTTATTCAGCTGTGCTTTGGACAGGACCTCGCAGTCTAGGAAATTTCTTGTTTTCATTCATTCTAGTTGTCACAGCATGGAGCGTGTTTGAAACGCAAAAGCCGAAAAGAGACAACACTTGAACAGCGCGTGTTTCAGCTGACTTGAATGATGGGGAGCTGCTTGGAATACCAGTGGCCTCTAAGCGGAGATACATGTTCCACGTACGTCCCCTTCCAAGAGCTCAGGCGTTTTCTTCGTGATGCGAATTTATCAGAGCCTGCTCCAGGTTAGTTCTCTGCCAGCTTGTAAACTGAGGAGCGCTGATGTCCCCAGAAATGATAAAACTAAGTGTGCGTGTGTGTGTGTGTGTGCGTGAGTGTGTGTGTGTGTGCGTGTGTGTGTGTGTGTGTGTGTGTGTGTGTGTTTACAGACATGGAACCACGGCGCATGGAAACCGATGAAGTCTTGTTTCTGAAGAAACTCGGCCTGCGTGTCACGAGTAAGCCATTGATAGTATTTTGTGCTTTTGACTGAACCCGCACAATTGTTTCGGTATGCATTGACTGTCGCAGATTTGTTTTGCCAATTGTCACTGAATGGTTGCTGATGTGTTTCTTATGTCTATTCAGCTCGCATCTCAATTCCTCTAGAAAATGTTCTTTGTCACTTGGAGAAGCACTATCCGTCAAGATACTCTGTAAGCTTCTCCTTCGAAGTGTGTATGTATGTACGTGTGTGTGTTTGTGTGTGTGTGTGTGTTTGCGTGTGTGTGTGTTTGTGTGTGTGTGTGCGTGCGTGTGTGTGTTCGTGTGTGTGTGTCGCATGTGTGCTGTATGAGCTGCACGTCTGGTGTCATGTTGTAGCTCTACGCGTCGAAAAGAGTAAGAAGTCAAAAAGAAAAGGAAAAGAAGAAAGAAGCAAATATGGACTAAAATTGTGGTCCAAAGCAAGGCGTTCCTGAATGCTGTTAAAGTAGAAAGGCCCTTTGTCTCCTGGTGCAGCAAAAGCCACTGCAAATAGCCAATGAAAAGGGGGAGTGTAGCAATGCAGAAGAGCGGGGTAGAGGAAGGGAGGATTCGTCGTCTTTCTAGGAGAGGTCTGGTTGATGATAACATTACTTAGACTTGTGCTGGTAATCTTCTTGATGTGTGCTGACACTTACAGGTCGTTCCTCTCTTGCTCTAGTGGACTAATTTCTTGATGTGGAAGTGCATCCGTTCTATTGGAATAGTCTTCCTGACATGTATTAACTGGCCATTCCTCTTCTGTGGTGTTGGTTTTCTTTATCAGGAGTACATGTCAGCGTTGCATGGGAAAGCGCTGGATGTCTGCGGTGTTGGTCCTAAACAACCTTCAGGTCCTGAGTTCATCAAAAAGGTAAATTGTTTGTTGCCTTGCTGGTTGTGTGTGGGTGTGGGTTCTCTCTCTCTCTCTCTCTCTCTCTCTCTCTCTCTCTCTCTCTCTCTCTCTCTCTCTCTCTCTCTCTCTCTCTCTCTCTCTCTCTCTCTCTCTCTCTCTCTCTCTCTCTCTCTCTCTCTCTCTCTCTCTCTCTCTCTCCCCCTCCCCCTCCCTCCCCATTTCTTCTGCCTGCTCTGTACCAAAAGATTGTCAGGTTTGCATGCTACATGGATGTTTTGTACTTGCCGACTACTAGTATTCATTGACTGCCATGTTGCTACATACTGAAGTGTCACTTCCATCCCTCATAGCCTTGCGTTTGCACTCATCCCTTATTTAAGTTCAGTTTATTGTGAGAAGTTTTGTGAGTTCATTCCAATTTGCTTTTGCCTTGCACTCCAGTATGAAACACGTTCTTGTGTTCCTCCCTACACTATCAAAGTGTGAATATGTCCGATTCCTCTTCCACATTCTGTTGGTACTGTGCCTATGGCAGATTGTGGATTCGAAGCGCTCTCTGGCGCAGCGAGCCATACGCAAGGCAGCCCAGTATAACGCTGAAATTGGCCAGCAGCGGCGCCTGGAGCGCAGCGCTTACTACGACACGCAGACACAGGTATGGTGAAAGCACATGAATGAGAAAAGGTGCACTCTATTGGGAGTATGGTGAAAAAAGGAGGACAAGATGTTACGAGTTATGACTAACTGTCCACCAACATAACCAGATCTTATACAGTCAGCGAGTGCGACAAAATGGCACGAAACTGGCTCACCATCCGAGTTAAACTTTTCGGAGTGGACTTTTATAAATTTATTCATTCATAGGTTGAGGGAATGGAAAAGGGAAAAGTCTGAAGAAAAAAATTGACTCTCACCACCAGGACTCAAACAAGCGACCTTTGCTTGAGGCCAACGATGCTCTAGCCACTGAGCTTTGGTGTAGCTGTGCCAACATGCTGGATAAATTGACATCGTTGTGCTTCGTCACATTATCACTATGTACTGATTTGAGAAGTAATGGTACGAAAGGCCTCATCAGGTTTTCAACTGGCTTCGTCTCTTCGTGCGCTAATATGTTTCCCCCGACTATCAAAGTCTTTATTTCATCATATATTTATCTTGACTAGTTTGAGGGAAAGACACAAACGGGAAAAGTCTGAAGAAAAAATTGACTGTCACCACCAGGACTCGAACCAGGGACCCTCGCTTATAGCTAGCATTTATCTATTTATTTATTCACAATCACGTGGCACTAGCCAGTGAAAAGGTGATGTGGGCGATAGGCAGCCATGGCGATAATAGAGGTATCGCTGCTGGGAGGACTGCACCATAGCTTAGAGCATCGCTGGCCATAAGCGAAGGTCCCTGGTTTCGAGTTTCGAGTCCTGGCCGTGACAGTCAATTTTTCTTCGAACTTTTTCTGTCTCAACTCCCTCAAACTCAAGAAGACGGTATAGACATCGGTTACCTTGATCTTTGGCCAAGACTGCTAACATGTTCTTCTTCTTGTCTCTCTTCCCTCTCATTTTTAAATGTAGTTTTTAGTTAACCGTGGCTGGTTACCACCACCCTTCATCTCATTCTTGCCACTGGCAGTCTTACGGCGAGCCAGGAGATGTTGTATTACGTAAATAGTAAATAAATGTGCCTGTTCCCGTCTTGTCTGTGTGTGTGTGTCTTGTCCCCGCGGACCCGCACAGCTGATCCACTACCCGGAGCGCAAGCGTCTGTGTCGCCGTGGTCGTCGTCAGCCGCCGGTTGGTGACTACCCGGTGGCTCTGCTGCCTGGACAGTACCAGGATTATTGCCCACGGTCAGTACGATGGCGCATGTTATTTTTTGTCTGAACCACACATTTCTACTCTATGCACTATACTTGTAGGCTTTGGGGATAATAGTAACAATAAACACAGCTCGCATCTTCCCTGAACCTGAGGAGCAGGGTTGAATCTGTCAACAATGACAGGGTTGACGCATCTGTCAACAATGACAAGCCAAGGTAGTCTATCTCCTGCCGCTTGGAGAGCGCTCTCCGCGGAGAGATCCGCTGCCTTCATGTCGTGCCGAATCGTATCTATCCACCGCCATGGTGGTCGGCCACGTGGTGTGGGGGATAACTAAAGTAAAATCTTCCCGGAGGAACACACAGTGGCTGCTGCCGTCCGATACTGTCGCCCGAGAATACTTTTCAGTAATTTGCTGACAATACTGCGGAAATCTCCCTTTGCAGTTGCCCCTCGTGCACAGACGCTATTTGTTATGAACTCTCGGCCACATAGGTCAATGTACCTGAGAGTTCTCCTGCATCGAATGTCATCCTGCACTCATTGTTTGTAAAGTTCAGATCGTGTTAGATCTGAGCTCATTCGTGCCTGCCCCCGTGGCGCAATGGATTAGCGCATTGGACTTCTAATCGGGCTAGCTGCTTGACGGCATTCAAAGGTTGTGGGTTCGAATCCCACCGGGGGTGCGTTTTTTTTTTAATGCTCAGCATTCCACGTTGTGTTGTGTCTATTTGCGGACGCGAGCTCCACACAAAAATGGAAGTTTCCGGAGGAGGAAGGAGGAAACTGTAGTTATCACCAACCCTCACCGCGCCCAGCTCGCGCCGCTACGGCGTGCGATCTGAGCTGGGCGCCCTGCCCAGTATGGAACTGTCCTCAAGCCAGTCACGTATTTGGCAGCCCAGTGAGCTGTCTACCGGATCGCAGCGTTTAGAAGCGCCAAATGCGGCAGGGCCAGTCTCAGGCTGGTCGCGTAGGCGGCAGGCCGGCGGGCGACCGGCAAGGCTGCATTCGCATTTGGATCACCGAAGTGATACAGGTGCTTCGACGGCACTCCGCGGCGCATCAAGGAGGCATCTGGGGCCCAGGCAGCCCGCCCGTAAGCGCACCACCGTATCAGGTATGCGCAGGTGGAGCAGCAGAGCAAGATGTGTGCCGGACACTCACCATCATCCGGTCGACTGCATGGTTGTGCGACTTTACACAGCCGTCACTCATTACTTGCTATTGCTTGCAGAAGGCCAGAATTTTTTTTTCTTTTTCGCTCTTTCCCTTCTTCCAGGCACGGCTTCATGTTAGAGCAGTAAATTGCAGTTAGGGACTCAGCTGAGTCAAGCTGGACTCAGCGTGTCAAGTTTGGCATAATACAATAAGCGCGCTATCCCCAAACAGTTGTGTGGTTATTGTGTGAGTGTATATGCAGGAGTCCGCGGTCACGTGAGGGGGGAGTGATAAACATAATTTGGTTATTACTTCGGTGTCTGTGAATCTTTTCCCACCAAATTTTGAACACAGATTCATGATTCATGCCATCATCTACAGTCCGTTTCAAAAAGATTTACAATCCTGGCGATCGCCCGCGGAGTTTGGCGTCTTACCGTATGAGCACTCAAGCGCTGCCTGGAAAAACTCACTGTGAACTCGAAGAAATATTCCGCGCGAAAGCAGGAAAAATGACAACTCACTCACGTTGACACAGTCATGTACGTCTGGTTTACAACAAACGAGTTCTTCCTCGTATCGATAATGGAGTCAGAGAGGACATGTCGAAACGAAAGTGTTGTAAATGTTGACGAGCTGCATGGGTCCGTTTTGTGACCAAAATAGTTTCTTTGAGCTGCGATGCAATTTACTCACCGTCTGACGAAAACGACATCAACACGGACTCATTCCCAAGGCCATGACTTGGCAAAGCTATCCGTGTGACTTCGACGACATTTTGAGAAAAGCAGACCCTTGTGAACGCTGATAGAAGACGGCGTTGACTGCTAAATTCAAATAAATTGGCGATCTTGAAATACTAAAATAAATCTCAAAAAGCTACAGCGCGATGACTTCCATTATAATTCACTCACACCATTGCAGTGTTGTGGGTGTGTTCACATGGCGTGAGCCAGTCAAGTGTCAGTCAGTTCGGCAGGAAGCGCGAGCTCCAACAATAAGTCGTTTGGTGCAGCCATCTTCTTTGTCTTGTACCAGCTTGATCACCAAAACAATGAAAAAAAAGTTTGACTTGAGGATAGGTTGGGATTTGAACTCACAACTTCATGGTCAGCAGACAGCATTCATAACCACAAGGCCAAAATGGAAAGGATAAATCGTGGGTTTTGATAAAAAATCGATACTGGCTTCCTGGGCAAATTGTAAACCATGGGAAAAGGCCGGAAACCTGGCCGAAATTCTAACTCCTTAACAGTTGGTCCAATTGTTCCGAAAGCTTCACAGAACAATTTGCCGTGTCCTAACAAGCCATTCTATGTACTTTGTTGTCCAAATTTCCCTTATCTTCATACTTTTTATGACCCAAACCTGATTGTAAATCTTTTTGAAACAGACTATTTTATAATAAAAGTTCTACCTTGAACATTTACTTCGCTTCATCCCAAATGTTCACTGCACTGGAGAGTAAAAAATGCCGTCATCTCAGATGTTTGGTACATGCTAGCAGCAACATGATATCAGCTGAAGTGATAGCAATGCATCACAAGAGACAGTCTACAACAGTAGCAAATGCTGAATAGAACAACTTGGAGATAGGACTCAAATAGCACCACTCGGTCAACATCATCTGTGAAGACGCCCGTCACCGTCGAAAAAGATTATTACTACTGAGGCAGCTAACATCCACCAAACAAAAAAAACTATCCCGTTATAATATATTGAGCATCTGTGAAATGTTCCACTGATCAATCTACATATAAGGTTTATTGGGCTGTGATGAGCCAATCTGGAGATAAAGTGTACCAAAGTTTGGTCGGGAGGCCAAAAAACTAACTTTTGGCACTCTGAGAACCCTCCAGCAATGTTTGTGACTACTTCTGCTTGCTGTGTCGTGTCAGCAAATCCCTTTCGAATAGCTCTTTTTCTCTTCCTGGCTGACTTTTGCTCCTCACTGGACCTTCTCCTGTGATACTGCTTCTCTTCATCCAACTTGAGAAGAACAGAGCTGTCAAGTGAACCCTTAGAGCAGCTCATCATTTCCAGCACAGCCGAAAGCATTTCCATTGTTCGTACTCAGCATTAGAAATCTTTCCTGCTTGCCACCTGTTCTTCCAAGTTTCACATCCACTGCAGTGTTTTGATAGCACATCCACGTCCAGAACCTTTCCTGTCTCATAGGACACAACAGTTTGCGCACCAAACATTGGTGAGAAGCCGCGCTTCATCTACATTCCATCGGTGCTAACTGCAACATGCCCCGGGTGGGAATGCTGTTCTGTTGTTCGCCGAACAAGAAGACGCTGTCCAGCACTCTTCATGCTGTCCCTAGCAACAGTTTCCACAGCAGTGTGTAGTGCATCGCTGTGCCCAGAATTGGACTTGCTAACAGGAGGCGGCATATCCAATATCCCACAGATACTGTTCAGACCTTCTCGTCTACTACCAACAAGGCGTATTGCAAGCACACTGCGGCGGTTTATATCGTACAATTTAGCAGGTGGGTGTCTTTCTGCCACGGCTGCACTGGTTGATGAGCCGCACGATTTGCACTGCAAACTAATCGTTGAGGCGAGGCCATGACGGAAATTCTCTTTGATGGTCAGCTTACCCTCTTGACGATTACTACATACACACGCTGATGTCACCAATTGCTGTAAGCTCTCCTTGTGAACAATTCGATTTCCTGATGGAATATCATCGCAATCCTCTTCAGACTTATCTCCAGCATTGTCACACGAGGCATCACTGGATAAAAAAGTAGCTCGAAGAGCAGGGTCTTCTTTCTACGCGCTCACCAGCTTCATCAGACTGCGGCTTGTGTTTGCTTTCACTCCCCTCAAATAATTCAGGACTTGAAATGGGCTTGGACGTAACTCTAGGAAATTTGCTTTTTCTTGGCCTGCTGAGCGACCTTCGTTGGCGTTCATCACCCATCTCCTGACCAAGTAGCGCCAGCACAACAACTCAAGCGCAGAGCTTCAACGCCAACGACAAACGCAATATGTTCGTCGCACTGGCAAACAATTTGAGAACGAATTTTTTAAAATTTGAAAACACAATTGCATGGGTTGAGGACCAGGCTAGCCAAATGAAAAAATAAAAAAATCGTGTTGCACGACCATCGAACAATAGAGAAGTTTCGCTCTACGTAATTACGTATGAAAATCCGTATGCTGTACGCGCCGGGGAGCGAGGGCAACGTAAATCTCGCTACGGATTTCCGTAGGAAACCTCATTCCTACGTTGGGTCCTCCGTAGGACTTTTTGAAATATTTTCCGGATTTATCCATGGCAGCGTTCAAGACGCGCGAAACACAAGGTACCCACACCGTACACGATGTGCAAAATAAAAATGGAAAACGCGGTTTCGGTCCGTGGTGCATGCATGCCGTGGGCGCATGCATCCAGCGCGTCTCCAAAGCAACAATGCATATGTTTAGCAGGCGCATGCAGCCAGCGCGTCTCCAAAGCAACAATGCATATGTTTAGCAGTTGTGGAGAAATCGCGTAGAGCGAAACTCAACAGCTCTGATTTTTACGTATGAAAATTACGTGCAGTTCCTACGTTATTTTCGCCAGAAATTCCGTAGAGCGAAACCTCCCTAATCTCACATCCTGATGACGTTCATTTCGTGGACGCCCCCGTGGCGCAATGGATTAGCGCATTGGACTTCTAATCGGGCAAGCTGCTTGACGGCATTCAAAGGTTGTGGGTTCGAATCCCACCGGGGGTGCGTTTTTTGTTTTTTTTATGCTCAGCATTCCATGTTGTACTCCAGTTGCCTTGAGCGGACGCGAGGCGAGCTCCATACGATTGTCCTTTCCCTGGCTGTAAAATCAAGGTGGGGCACTCTCGCAGCGTTACTTT